TCGGATGCAGTGTGAATTCAGCATAAGGCCGGAATCAGACTACGCATTGAAGATTGAGATCGAAGATTGAAGATTGAAATTGGACCAATGAGGGCAAAGGAATTTTAGCTCCTATTGTTTTGATTGGTCAAATTTCAATCTTTCAATCTTCAATCTCAATCTTTAATGCCTAGTCTGATTCCGGCTATAGGACGCGTTCACAACTAGAAGGGAAAAGCAGAAAAAGTAGGAAAGCAGAAGCCAATCAGAATTCGGGCTGTACTATCATCGATTACCAGCACGACTTTTGATTGGCTTCTGCCATTCCATATCCAGCCAATCAAAAATTAGCCCATCTATGTCAGTCTCTTATTATAATGTCTCTAGTGCACCCTAGAGTCCTAGATTTATCAAAGAGGCGCAACCGGTGTTACGCATTCTGATTCGCTGTTGCAATCACATGACTTGGCAACCATTTATAGTACTAGTGACGTATTGCTATTTCATTTTATCCTATACATTCTATCTCACTCTATCTCATTCTTGCTCTTGAACAGTATCCATGCTGACTGAATTGTGATTACTGATATTATACAGAAAGCCTGATTACTTGTTCGTTAACAGTAGATATATATGCTTCACAATTATCATTTTTTTCAATGGTTGCGTTCAGCAGACTCAACAGTTTTGCAACCGTTTTATGATTGTCTGCTGAGATAGGACCATTCTTCTAGATCTAAAAGTATGATCCAATCAGCGCGAAGGAAACTTCCAACAGTTGCAAAACAAACGTTCTGCTGAACGCAGCCAATGTTTCTTGAATGTAAGAACATAATACTACAATCTTACCTGCAATTATACAATATCTTATCTTCAAATACTTCCGTTTTAATTTACAAACAAGCAATCACAAATGACTTTAAAATTACTTCATTCCAAACAGTTGGAATACTCCATAGATTAAACCATATGAAATTCTTCTACGTATCATACAGAATTATTTATCTGAGTAATGCAATAATATTTTTTTTTAATTTCAGGAATAATTTTATCGAGAATCTTTACCATCGAGTAAAGTTTTACTCCGTTAACAACAGTGCAAATTAAGAAGTTATGGTGATACGCAAAAGCGATTACAATGACAATTAATCAACTGACTTATTAATACATAAATATTCCCTCTAAAGAATTGATACGATTCATTTAAATATAATTTTATATTACTTTGTCTTATCTTGTTTGACAGTTTAAAGGCAGTTTCATAGAATGTCAGCCGTGTTTAGTACTCTCCCTAGTACCTTTGTCATACTGACTTAGGCCCGTATTCATAGTCAGACCTTGTACTTAAGGCTTCTTTAAATTTATCTTTAGATGCTCAGTAGCCAATGAAATAATTCATAGAGCATCTAAAGATAAATTTAAGGAAGCCTTAAATATAAGGCCTGACTATGAATACGGGCATTAAGCTAGTTGCGCCTCTCTGATAAATCTAGGACTCTAGTGCACCCAAGCGAAAACCAATAGGTCTGTTCGTCTTGCTTACACTTTCGTACACTTTTTACACTTAAAATGAGATAGATATATATTTGGCGCTGAAAAGAGAGAAAGCGAAGATGCTGAGTGTAAAAAGTGTAAGCAAGGCGAACAGACCTAATTACTATATTCCTTTGTAGCCTCGTGATTGTTTTCCGAACGCTCTCGTATCCGATAGGTTAAGTACTGACAGTACTTGACAGTACATACTTCTGTTCAAAAGTACTCCGTTAAAGACTCGTCAGGATCGGTCGGCCGGGACGGCCGTTGAACGTTTTGCGGAAAAAACGATTGATCGCAAGGTACACGTCAATCGGACAGTTGAAATCTTGGAAAGCAGCGTGGCCGTGGCGGCATTCGTACAGTTAGCAGTGTCGGCTCGGCAACTCCCTTCCCCCCCATCCGGCACTCGTGTTCCCTTGTGTCCGTTAGCCATCGTAAAGCCGGCCGGAACCATCTTGCGCGACGTCTGATTTTCCCGCGTGCTAACGAAGCGCTCGCAGAAAGCCGTCCCGCGAAGATAGCAACGAATGCAAATGGCTGTCACAGTAATGTGTGCGTGCTTGTCTGTCGTTCCCGCGAGTCCGACGCTCGAATGTGCCGCGAAATTGTCGCGCGCGATCGATATGTGATGACCGGCGTCGGTCGTTGGACATCAAGTCGGTGTTGCTTGCGCGCGGTGGTGTGAACGTGTCTTCTTACGTCGGACATTAACGTGTTACGTACGCGTGCACGCGGGAAATCCGCTCGTAACGGGTGAGAGAGCGAGAGAGAGAGAGAGAGAGAAAGAAAGAGAAATACGCGCGCGCGCTTGTCGCGTGCACATGTGTGCGTGTACTACCTCCGCAGCGGTGAGCGATTCCTCTCCGGTAGCCGCGTCGAGACCGAATCGGAGCTCGAACCCACGACACCGCACGATATCGCGCACGGCGAGCCGATAGTCGCGCGATTCCGCGTGCCAGGAATCGAAGTCCGAAGGAGCTCCACGCCAGATGGTCGTCGTGCTCATCTTGGCAATAAACCGCCTAGAGATCGCTCTACATCTGCAAGCAGGTAAACAATCGTCAGAAGTGTTATTTCCCGCAAGCCCGCGTGTCTTGCCGCTCGAAGCTCAATCGACCGGTTACGCGAGTAAGCTCAATCTAGTATCTTAAACCATCTACTTTGCTACTTGGTAAGCGAAAAATATATCTCTGTATTAACTCTCTCATTCGATCCTCCCACGAAATTTTTTAATTTTTATCCACACGATGCAATTACATATCCGTCTTATTTCATATATATATATGTGTGTGTAATAAAATACACACACACAAAATATTCTTTTCATATCTATCTCGTCAAACCTTTTGTCAATGAAAAGTAGTACCAATTTTGAATTAAACACAAATTTTTATTTTGATATATGAATTTCGTTATAATGCTTTAAATCTCTATCCTTTGAACGACAAAGAATCATTTTGCAAACTTTAATTTTTATTTTTACATTTTTAGTGGAAATCTTGTGAAACAATAATGAAAAGAAATAAAAGATTATGCATTGACAAAAGGATTAAGGAGCAATTAATATGAAATGTCCACATGAAGATAAAAATGTTATCTGAAATACTATCTCACATTCCATTTTT